TAAGGTCATCGCGTGTTTTGTGAGCAAATGCTTTTGCATATCCGTAGTGTTTCCTCCCTTAAATGAAATATCTACTTTGAAAGTATTGCAAGTTGCCCTGTTGTCATCCGTTCTTGTAAAGTGTAACCAAACTTTTGAGCGTTTGAGCCGCCGTGTTTCCTGCCAGGTAAATGACGCTCCGCAACGTGGTGACGTCATTCGGGGCGACTGGAATCGATAAGGGAATCGTTTGCAAAAACGGCAAACAATTCCAAGGAACTGAAACAGTGGGAACCGGTTCTCAACAAGAACCGGGTTTCGATACCCATCCCTACTCTTAACTAAAACATTTTGTGTCTTCACTCAGGACAAAGTGGACGCTGGACTTCCAACAGCTATAGTGAGTATTTACTAAGTAGTTCATCTCAACACAAAGAGTGTGTAGTGACTGAATATGTACACCTGCATCAATAATTAAAAATATTTTACATACTACAGACGTGGATCAGCACATAGCAGAACCTGACAAGTAATGACAGCCGTCAGCTGCAGTCACACTTGGAGCCTTGATGTGTTTTGTCATTTGTACTTGTCTATCTGAAAACGCTTCCATGTTTAGTCTGTTCTGAGCTGTACGTCCCTGTGTCTTCAGACAGTGTCGGGTGTCATTGCTGTGGGAACGTCTCATGGTCTGGCTTTGGTCTTTGGTAAGTCTGAACTGTAATACTGTCTATTTACACTGTCAACAATATTTCCCTTTGAGAATAACTGTATCACTTTATCACCAATGAACCAGAAACAAGCCCATAAATAGAAGCAAACCCCAAACACTTGACTTACTGATCGACAGGAATCTAGGTTTGACTGCAGATGTTTGTATTGAAGATACACAACAGTGGTTTAGCCAACTACAGCATGTTACGTTCAGCGTTAGTGTTGTTGAGACGCAGATGAAGGATACTCAGTGACTGTCACATCACAGCTAACGGTAGCGTTTTATGTGGCACTGGCAGACAGACAGGCCATCATTTAGGACCATGTTGGACTGTTCTGCGCTAAGGGGGCGATAGCTCATTTCACGAGTGTAAAAAAGCAGCTTGGAGCAGGGCAACTGTGAGGTCGCTCAAAAACTGGCATCAGTTTGAGTACATGTGGAATGTGTCAATCCAGGTTGGATCATTTAGCCATGAAGATGCTGCCTTGATGAAAGTGCACGCGCTGCCTTTGCATCGATGAATGTGTCTTTACACTGGTCAAACAGATCTGTGGAATCTAAAATGTTTGTTACAGTAAAGATGAATATGTGGCTCCACAGTCTTTAATCAGTTACAGTTCATTTGCATTCGTTTAGTGTAGCGATGCAGTAATAAAGCATACAGGCAAATTTGCTACGGCTTCAGCGTCACATTACAAATGGGAAATGAACTGTATGAAATTTTAAAAGCAGAATGTGTGCTGCACAAAGTCCTGATGTTTTCCTGTGTACATCACAACCGACTTCCTGACTTGCTTGAATAAAGACCGTCTTTGTGCTTCTAAAAATGGGATTGAATTTGATTTATTTCATCACAAAGTAACCATTTGTTATCAGGAAACATTAACATGATCACAATTATTAGAAGTGCATTTCACAGTAAGTATCATTGCAACAACAGTTACTGGACATTGTAACTACATTGTGTTTTGTAGACTGCTAGAAGCTCTCTGCACTTCCATTTTCATGCCTGTACATTTCAGATGATAGGTCCACGGGTTTCAGCATAGTAACCGCCTTAGTTGTACTCTAGCATTAGGATATGTGTGTTTGGAAAGCCACAGTACAGAGGTTTCAGCACGTTTTTCAACTACTGTAGGGTTGGCTGTAGCTCAGGACGTAGAGACATCATCTACTAATTGGGAAGTTGGTGATTTGATCCCTGGCTGCTCCAGTTAGGATGCTAATGTATGCTAACAAGATATTGAAGCCCGAGTTGCTCTCCAGTGTAATCAACTTAGTGTGAATGGATGAAAAGTGCTGTATAAGAACCAGTCCATTTACTTGTGACGGTGTTTGCCATTTAAAAAGAACAGGTTTAACACTGTTTAATATTCCTTACTGGACTGACTGGTCCAACCACACAGTCAGATAACTGCCACGAGCTGGTTATATATCCAGAGAACTGTGGTTTTAGCTCCACACAGCTAAAATGGATCGACTTTGGACTCCTGCAGGCCAGGCGGTGAATATCTTTGTGTTGGAAGAAAATAGATGTACGCTAAAGTGATAGGTGGGTGCAGGAGGCATCATCATGTGCTGAATTGGACACACTTACTTATTGTCAGAGGAGAGGGAGCAAATCTTAAAGAAACGTGGTCGCCTTTAGCTGAGCTTCTGAGACATTATGAAGGGAATAATTTAGAAAATGATACTTGGCGTTGACTTGTTCTTTATTTCATTTGCTATTTTTATTTTCTTTCTCGTCTTGTTTTGTTTGTTTTATGTGTGCTGTGCATTTCTTTTCTTTTAATTTTTTTATTTATACTTGTAGTAGAAGTGCTGAGTCTACAAGTCTTATTTACCCAATAACACACAAAGGTAAAGATGTAAAGGAAAGCAAATACAGAAAGCACATAAAAGATAGAACATACATGTGTGGCACCTGTGAGCAAAAACCAGATCTGACAAATACAAATGAAGTAAATTAGACACAATTACAGAATTGTGCAAAATTGATAAGAGAAACGGTGAAAAAAAGGAAAATAGTTCTTAAGGATAACTATTCATTTATCACTGTATCGCTCTTACGTATTTCACTCATTGTGCCCTTGGGCTCAGCAGCAGGACAAAGATCCAATACACAGCAGCCAGTCCACCTCTGAGTGGGTAAAGCAAACCAACATGAAGACTTTGGATTGGCCCAGACAAAGTCCTGACCTGAACCCGATTGAGATGCTGCGGCATGACCTTAAAGGCGGTTCATGCTTGAAAACCCACCGAATGTGGTTGTAGTCAAACAGTTTGCAGAGATGAGTGGGTCAAAAAGTGCTGTAAAAGACTCACTGCCAGTCAGCACAAAGGCTCGATTGCAGTCGTTGCTGTTAAAGGTGACCCAATCAGTTATTAGGTTCAGGGGCAATCAGTGCTTCACACAGGTATGTTTGGGTTTTTCCCCTTAATAAGAAAAACACCTTCATTTAGAATCTGCGTTTTGTGTTTACTTGTGTTATCTTTGTCTAATATTCAAATTTGTTTGATCTGAAAGAGTTAAGTGTAACGAAAATACAAAAACACAGGGAATCAGGAAGGAGGCAACACTTTGTCAGTGTCCTCTGTGCTGCTGCCGTCCTGGCACGCACCAAACATTTTTGTTCATTTCTGCTGAATCATCTCAGGATGCTACAGCGCCCTTTGACATTCTCACCCTGGAGAACAGTTTGGGTGTTTTTAAATGTTCAAAACAGCCTGGCGTTTCAGTTGACTCCAAGTTGGCTCTTTAGCACTGAAAGTGTTCAGAATAGCTCGAGGTCCTTCCATCACCATTAGTGGTCCTAGTGTTGAGTACATGTGGAATGTGTCAATCCACATGTTTGAAAGGGAATTTGATCTTGTGTATATTTGAGGCCCACCGTTCGACAGAATGGACCTAAAGACTGAGATAATAAACAGAGAAATACTTCTGCAGAATCCGGAGGTGATGTTGAACAGAAGAGGGACAAATTTAAACCAGGTAAAGGTTTAGATTTATTGTTACGTTATACACTGGTTACAAAGAAAACCTGTTTTTGATACATACAAATCTTTCATGAATCAGTCTAGAGAAAGCACTCTAGAGTATACAACGGCATGCACTCGTTTACACTGAAATCAGCACCACTTTAGCAAGTGACCAGTATTACCAGTTGATTGACCCTTGCAGATACGTAGTGGGATGCCAGTGATTGTTTTACTTGTGTAACATCTTGCGTCTGTTGTGTTAGTACATCCCTGTGTCATTGACATCCACCCTCAGGACTGCTTCACCTGAATCAGACATGGAGGCACTGACAATAACGTAGTCACCTTCATAAGAAATGCAGGACCCGTCAGCCTTGGCTCTTACGAAACTATTTTCACTCCCATTATACATGATGTCATAAAGATTATAGTCACAGTCGGTTCCTTTGTCAAAGATCCCCACGGCAAACCAGTTGGAGTAGAGGCTTCGATCATACGGCACGGAGAACATGACAGCCATGATGTGGCTATAGTCGTTCATGTCAGGGTTGACAAGGTCATAGGTGAAGACTCCAACTGCTCCAGTTGCACTGCCAGTGACTTTGTTGAACAGTGCACTGGCTTCAGAGCAGGGACCTACCATGGGTGGCAAAGGGACCTCGCATTTGCCACTCTCACTGAAAGCCCTAAGCATGGAGACACAGTGTGTTAGATGGGTCTAACAGAAACACTTTGACCAATTCTTCTGGTTATACTTTCCAATAACTAAACACTGTTTGTCTAAACTATGTAACAATAATGCAGTCAATAGGACACATTGCATGCACAACAGTATTGTAAGAGCTGAACAACCCAACAGGGCTGTGACGCTTTTGGTTTCTCATTCGCATTATTGAAGTTACACAACAAAAGTAACACTAAACTTATACCCACATACGTGCTCCAACCCTTATCCTTATAGGGCGAATGTATGGAGGAGTTTCATTTTAATAAATTGAATAAAAGTGCAAAACAGGAAGCAGCAGGGCTAAAGATGAGAGATCAGCTTTGTTACACACAAACATACTCTTGGACTGCTTGGTTGGGGTTAGCATACGTTCTGCTTAAACGTCACTGTGGGATTTCTTCTTCCTAGCTTTGTGTTAGTGATTCTGCCCATAATGATTGTGTAGGTGTGCTGTCTTTGCTGTGCTTGTAGAGGATTGATGGTGTTTTTGCTGCAGTGGATTCATGTTTTTGGACTATCTAGAGCACATGTGTCAGACTCACATACAGCCCATTTTGATCAGTAATGGGTGAGACGCTCCTTTCTGTCAGTGTAAAGAAATTTCATATTTAACTGTTTTTCTGCATGTTTTTGTAGAAAAGTAAACATGTTCTGCATGTTTATGGCATACTTGCTGTCACATAATGGTCTTTGCATGTGAATGCCTGCATGGTGTGCCCATTAAAATAGTCCCAGCCCTGCCCACATGGATTCTCAGGGCTGATGATTTGATTTCCACATACCGACGGGCTGACCAATGAAATGATCTCACGGGCCGGATGTTTGACACCTTTGCACAATAGTGTGCTGTTTACCATCATCCGGAGTAATGTGCATTTAATCCACCTCAAAAGTGACACATTGAGCTGCTGTTTTTCACCTCCCACATGAAGCTGCCAAGCTACAGGCAAGCTACACAAGTGCACATAAAAATGTGCTGGATCATTATTTTCTATCCACCCTTATGCAGATCATTGAAGAACTTCTGATGCAAGTAATGGATTCAGTAATTTTAGGATTTTACTTTGGTAAGAATTTGCAAAAGAAACACTTTTCCTCTTTCCATTTGCTCAGATGTGCACTGGCTGTGTTGGATTTTGCAAAGTTTGCCACGGTTTTATTATATTTGTGCTTGTAAATAAGTTTTCAACAATGATAAACCCAAAGGTTTAAAAAGATTATAACCAACTATAATTATTGACGTGGTCATCCATCATGGTTGGGCTGGAACTTATTCAGGCTTTCATAAGACAAGAGACAGAGTACACCCTGAACAGGACATGTCCCCAACCTATCTCATGCTAACATGAAGAGACAGAGAACCATTAGCACCTACAGCCACTTTAGAGTCACCAGTTAACTTCATTTGCACGTCTTTGGACTGTGGGAGGAAGCCAGAAAACCCATGTAGACTGCACACAGAATGGCCCCAGAAAGCTGATGGATTCAAACCCAGGACCTTTCCGATGTTAGGCAATGTCGCTAACCACCACACCACTGTGCTTTAGGTGTGTGGGTTTCATTCTGCAGCCGTCTTATACATCATGGCTTGGGTCACATCATCATCTTGACTACTTTTTCTTGGCTCGACAGCACATGAACTCAAAGAACCGTCTCATGGTTCACCATGAGGGCTGACTGCATGCTAATGGCTAACTAGCAGTTGCATCTTTACTGTAACGATATGGCAGAAATGACCAACAGCGTCTTTTTTGTTCTGGAGCAGCACATCTTGAGAATTCATGTCTAAATAAAGGCGACAACTTCTCTGCTGCATCCTCAACAGCATGACTGTGTTCCTCACATGGCGTGCTGAAACCAACAGCCAATGAGGTCGTCCCTGCACCAGTGACCATCGCAGCCAGTTTGTAAAACTCATGACCGACAGCCTTCTGGTTCTTTCTGTCAATATTTGCAAATTCCCCTAAAACTCAAACATTACATAGAGAACTGGACCATAATGACATCATTGATTTGCTGTCATATTGTTTTATATTGCCATTTCCTGTGTTGTAAAGCACTTTGTGATTTTTTTACCTGTGAAAAGCGCTATGTAAATACATTTTACTTACTTACTAAATTGAGAACATCACAAGTGTCTACTGTATTGCCATGTGCATACTGAGTAGATTTGAGCATTTTAGACTGTTTGTATTGGCAGCAAAAGATGATTTATGTTGCATTAAACCCATTCTTGAAACTTGCATCAGATGGAAAGTACAGAAGTAACACTGCACCTTGGATTGGCCAGAGTGTAGTAGCCGGAGTTGTTGTTAATCTCAACAGAACAGCTGCGATGAGGCATCGTGTTGATGTGATGGCAGGAGGAGGCTGTGAATCAGAACATAGCCTTTCACTTATATCCCCATTTTTAAAGGGAAGACACAGTCGTCAAACGTAGTGAGTTGTGTTTTGCTTAATGATGTGGTGACAGTGGCTAGAATTACACGAGTGAGGCCTGGAAATAGAAAATGCAGACCTGTTTTCTGTGAAATCACAAGTTATCATCTGAATTCACAATGACAGTTGACTAAGTGGGCCAATGGTGGAACAAGAATTAAGAGAGATGAATTGATGACGTTTAATATGAAAGTCTTGATAATATAAGACAGTCTTGCTGGGCTGGGGCCCATTAGACATGTTGATGGATTAAGTAATTATTCAAATGTATATTTTATATGTAGCTGTCATTGTTAGTTTACATTTACTTAGCACCTTTAATTTGTATTACATAAAGCATGCTTATATTAATGTATGCATGTTTTATTTTAGCAACCTAAGTTCCAAATAAGGATCTAACCAGTCAGACGGTCGACTCAAACTTTGACTGTGCCAAATATCCAGACTATAAAATGACACTCAGATGAAGTAGTTGGCAAAATAAGACTAATCAATGAATAAATGTGGTGCAGAAAATCTGGTATTGAAAGCCAGATATTACCTGGAAATGAAGCCACAAACAGCATCATTAGCTCACATCAGTAAAGGTAAGTTTGAACCATAGTGGAACACTTACCTTTGTATCACTGAAAAATACAAAAACAGCAGTTTGAGCAAACGGATTGTTAGTCCGGGTATGAACGAGTCCCACTGTGCATTAGCTGTTATCACACCAGGTTATATTGACTCAGGTAATCACAACGTACCGCCTGACTCCCTTATCTCATGTTCAGCGCGTCCCACCCCTCTTTCTCTGCCGTATCTAACAGTGGTTAGAGGGATCCATGCCTTTGGTGGAACCTTTAAGGTGGTTATCGAATGTTTGTACAAGGTGGGACTTCAGGATGGTACTGCTTTACAGCGTGTGTTACGCACACTGCCTCACATAAACACCACTGAGCTTTTAAGCTGGTTTGATTTCCTTAAAAGAGATGAAGTCATGCATTTCTGTCTTTATTTCGTCTTAGCATCATTGCTTTGGTTCTACTTTATAAAATGTTGCAGAAGTCCCTTTTAAAGATGACAGATGTGTAACTTCAGTAACAGCATTCTGCCAGGCAAACTTCACTGTTATTTCAGAGACACACAACACTTGCTAATAAGCTAATTTACAAACACACACGCAGGAACAGAGGCTTCAGGGATGATGTTCTAACTGTGATGTGGTTTAACTGGAATTTGCTCAGTATTTAACTTGCAGCAGGGCTGATCAGTGTCTCTCTGTGTTGCTGACATTATGATGCCTGAGCAGGAAAAGGTATGACCACGTCTGTCAGATCCTCCTGAACGTTGTTCGTCTGGTGTTCAGCCTGAAACATCACTCTTTGTGTGCATTTTGGTTTGGCATGGTATTTGGTTTCATTTGTTTCTTTTTATTTACAGTACTTTGATTACTTTTATGGCTCTTCATTTAGTGTCAGTTTTGTTTTTATGTTTAAATTATGTGCTTTTTAATTCTGGTATTGCACTCGTAAAACTGAGGACTGGGACAACTTTCAGTTTGTCTTTTGCCTGTTTTTCCAGTGTTTCTCCTGCTCTGTCAGTTAAACGGCCTCTTCCTCTCCAGATACCAACCAGGCCTTGCGGCTCTGTCTGGGTACCAAGACGACTGGAGCAGAGTTTGGTGCCGTCTCTGCCCTGAGCATCAACCATGACTGCTCACGACTTCTCTGCGGGTTTGCCAAAGGACAGGTACTAGGACAAGATAAATAGACTTTATTTGCCACTAATTTACAGTTTTTTTTGTTAAAGCTGCCAAATAATAATGATGATATAATAACAGTTAAATCATAGGGCCCTTTCACCTCAGTGCATGTCGTGACTTGACACTGTGGAGGTGTTTGCTGTAGTCGGGTGGATGATTTCTAACTGTTGTTACTACCTGTGGCCAGTGGGTGGTGTATGAGGTCACTCACTAATGATGTGTTCCTGTATGTGATATTAACACTGAACATTTCATATAGAAACAGATGATTTATCAGTTGTAAGGTTTAGGATGTTTTTAACAATTTAATGTCCTGTAGTGAGTAATCCAAATTTGACATCACAGACGTGTCCTTCAGTTAAAAAAAAAAACTCACATGCTTCGCAATTTAGCATCGCCAGGGTCATTAGGTTGAACTCACCAATGCTCATGTTGGTCAGATGAAATCTCTGGGAGAAATTTGATTAACTACAACAAAACTGCTGCCAAAATAATTCAAAACAGCTGCCCTCCTTTTTGGTTTAGGACAGACTCTAAGAGTCTTTTTTATTGTTTTTAAAAACATTACTTTAAGCTGCCAAATTTGAACGATGGCTGGATAAGTACATATATAGAGAGATGCATAGACAGGTATAAATAGACTTTATGAATCCCACCGTGGGGACTATAGCAGCACAACAGGGAGGAAGAAGAATTTGGGCAAAAAAAGATTTCCAAGAGTAACTAGAACTCGATATTTTTTATGTGCACATGAAGTGCAGTGGGAGTGATGATGTACATATATTTCAGCAGTTATCTGTATTTTACAGTGTGACTGCTGTTGGGATGAAGGGATGACCTTCCCACCAGGGGAGTTGTAACCTGTACAAAGGTGTTAGAAGGTAAAAGACTGCTGGAGCGTCACTGAAAAAGTCCCGCACACCTCAGCCTGCCCAGCAGAGCTTCAGTTCAATTTTATTTATACAGCGCCACAACAGCAGTGGCCTCAAGGCGCTTCACAGTAGACCCTACAATAACACATACAGAGAAAAACCCAACAATCATGTGACCCCCTGTGAGCAAGCACTTTGGCCACAGTGGGAAGGAAAAACTCCCTTTGAACAGGAAGAAACCCCCGGCTCAGGGGGGCGGGGCCATCTGCTGCGACTGGTTGGAGTGAGAGAAGGAAGACAGGAGCTGACGTTGTCCTTTCTCGTACAGATCTGGAGTGTTTTCTGACCAGTCCGGTTTATTGTGAGGGTGAACATCCAGGAATTTGTACTTGTCCACGACATCAGTGCCAAAACCGTGCATGTTCACTGTGATGGGAGGTCTCACTAGTGTGGATGTGTAGGTGGTTGAGATCACATCAGATGATAAAGTGAGTGATGTCCTTCCTGTACGCCAGGTTGTTCCACTCACATACACATGCAACAGTGTGTGTGTCCCCACTGTCAGTGTATCTGAAGTCTGATTTGTAGAGTAGGACGCTCCCCAGGAAGGTCATATGAGTTAATGCTGATAGCTAACAGCTCATTAACACTAATGTCTTGTTCACAAACATCTGGTTCACATGCAGATAGACATAAATATGGAGCTAGCTGCTACCACAGTCTGTAGCAAACTCATTAACACAGTGAAAGCCATACCAGCGCTATGTGGCCCTGTGTTGGTGGTTCCACTTGGGCTACAGACACATTTCATTAAACCTTCTGTTAATGGATTTTCCTAAATAAATCTTTACTTTGCAAAGATTTGCACATTTTAACTATACGGATTATTTAGGACTGTAGCAGGCGCTCATAATGTGAGGTTGATCACATGTCATCCTCTGTGTGAGCGAAACTTGCACACTGTTTTGTCAGGATAAGGTCCGTTCTACTATTAATCGAATGCATTTTCGTGTGTTAGCCTCGTTTTTTCAGAACGATCATTAAATGATTGATTTGTTCATCTTTGTTTCATTTCCAGCCTTTTAAATCATTGCTTCATTCTCCATTTCAGAAACACATTAAGGTCGTAGCAAAAATAAAATTAGCACCAGCGTTGCTGATATGACAGGAATGCACTGCAGAATGTGTTCACAGCTTTCACTTGAGCTCATGACCACCTTCCTCGTGTCGTCTCTCCGTCTGCACGATCAGATTACAATGTGGGATCTAGCCAATGGGAAGCTTCTGAGGACCATCACTGATGCCCACCCTCCTGGGACAGCCATTCTGCATGTGAAGGTCCATGCACACACACACACTTGCAAAGTCAGCTTTGTTTTGTTGTTGTCACCAAACGTCACCCCTCCACTACTATTACTAAGGAAACATTTGTAACAAAGGTTGTATTTTTCTACCTGTGGCTCAGAGATGTCAAATGTTTCCTCCCTGATGATTTCTGTCTAACTTCTGTCCTGAGTTCTTCTTTTGCCTTTCTTGTTATTGCAGTTCACAGATGACCCAACTATTGCCGTGTGCAATGACAGTGGAGGATCTGTTTTTGAGCTGGCTTTCAGGTGAATGACTCGACTTTAAATGAAAAGTAACAGAAATGTTATTTTCAACCATCAGGTTTTATGTTCCTGAGCAGTTTTTACCCCTCAGCACTGAAAAGCTGATGAAGTATTGTTGGCATAGCTGGAAATGAGGATTTTCTAATTGATACCATAGGTGCATCTACTAAAGATCTCAGATGAGTTAGTAACTTTAACCTCGAGGTCAGAGGTCAAGTTTTTCAAAGATCTTGTGATAACTGAAGAAGGAGGTGACCTCGCATTTTCACACTTATACCATACGTACATCTACGAGGAGGCTGAGGGGAGGATACTTTTTGTAACCGAGGTGCTGAAAGAACTTTCTGGCCTTCTACCTCTTAAATGAACACATGTAATCCCACCAGCAACAAGTGTTGCCGTTTTAACCCGACTCTGATTCAGTGATTTTTTTATGTTCATCTTTCTCATTGGTTCCCCTGCTTTCCCCTCGTTTGTTCTCAGGAGGGTGATGGGGATGCGGTCATGTGACTCTCGATGTCTCTTCAGTGGTTCTAAAGGGGAGGTGTGCTGTATCGAACCTTTGCGTTCTCCTCCGGACTTCAGAGACCATCCCATCACGCACTACTCTCTGCTCGCTATGGCATCTCTCACTAAGGTGTGCAGATGCCAAAGCTCGTCCGCAGGTCATAATCGTGTTCTCATTCGTGCAGCATCAGGTTCTGATGGTTTTGTCTTTTCACCCCAGATTCTAGTCATTGGATTAAAGCCCTCCCTGAAAGTCTGGATGACATTTCCTTACAATAAGGTATGAAGTGCGGTTTGCATGTATGAGTCAGATCCACTGACGTGATGAGGCATCGTGTCAGATGTGATGGCACTACTTTGTTGTGCTGTAATTAAAGGATACAAAGGTTTCAATTTCATTTACCATGAACTGTAATCAAGAGGCAGAGCGGAGCTATCGAGTCCTTGTTTACCAGGCAGGCACAAAGAGAACTGCCCAGAGGTCCTGAAAGACTCGTTCCAGCTCGAATCGCCTTCTGCTCGACCGTGTGTCTCTCTGACAGTCAGCACGTAGGAGACGTTAAAATCAAGCTTTGATGCTTTGAACAGTCGGCTCAGTTCCATACTCAGCATCATCATTCATTTCTTAACTTGCCAACATGTCCGAAGTGACTCAGCTGCTGTTTTTAGCTTTTTTTTGCTTTGCAACTAGAAAGTTGGATTTCTATCTGGTGGTGTTACCAGCCACTGGTCCCTGTTCAAATGATGTGTCTTTCCCAGTACAGTGGATGTGCTTCTACATGCTCCTCCCCTTTTTGTTCCTTCTTAGTTAAAGAAGTTAAAGGTTGGATCTTATTCCAAAAACGTGTCTACGTTTTATTTAGTATCACGTCACAGTTAAGCGGGACAGGGCAGAGTTTTCTCCCCAACAAAGTGGTGATGGGAACGTGGCACGCCCTCAGAGGCGCTCCGTGAGATTTGTTTCCGATGTCGTGTTATGTTCTCCTTTGTTAGTCGGATCCATCCAGCGTTCCTCAGCTGGCCTGGCAGTTTGTTGCTGTCCAGAAGATGGTCAATCCAGTCCTGGCTTTTTGCAAAGGAGATACCGTCCACTTCCTCTTGGTAAGTGCTGAACTGTGATATATCAAAGCTTTCAGTAGATGTAAATCCTTACTATGTTAAAGCTACGAGGATACAAGCTGACACTAAATAATGGTGGACTGAATATTTCCCAGACGTCTGATTTCTGAAGCGCGTAAACACTTCCGTCAAAGAGCAGTTATCCCGGGATCATGTTTCTCTCCTCCACCACTGTTTGTTCAGGTAAAGAAAGAGGAATCGGGGACGATCCACGTCATCAAACAGAGACAATTCCAGCTCAGCTGTGACATCATCAGCCTAAGTGTAAGTACCCCGAGAAGATGCTCAACAGTGGCACATACTCACTCATGCACAGGTCAGCAGAGGAGTGCTGGATGTATTTAGGAGTTTAAGCCTTTCAGGATGGTTTATTCTTGTAAAATACGATCACTCCTGATGACAGCGTTTCCTGGAGTGAACCTCTGGTTTATTAGAAAGTTCCATTCTGCTGTTTTCCTGGGACAAAGACTTTCTGGTGCAGATCATATAAAACGCTGAGCTGACATCACTGTTGGAGAAACTTCAGTCCCCGTCATCAAAAAGTCTTCAGTAGTGAAACAGGACAAACACCAGCGGGGCGGGGCTCAGTGCCAGAGTCCTGGGAGCCTGAGGATCCTCTGGCTCCCAGGATCTGGATCTGATTTCTGCAAAGAGATCTCAGATGTTGTTCCTGGGATCTGCTGGAGCCACCTGCCCAGTTTGCAGGTCACTGGCCCAAGTGGCCCAATTACCACTGGGACCACTGCTGCATTCACCTCCACGTCTTCCAGAGCTCCTCTCTCAGCCCTCGGAGCTTCTTGAGCTTGTCCTGTTCCTTTTTCCTGATGTTGCTATCACTCGGTATCACGACTGTCGTCCACAAACTGCTACGTTTGGTTGGTCGGTCTGTCGCTGGTGGGATTCTGGGTGTCAGTGGTACGTACTGTGCAGGGCCTGTGCATCCATGATGGTTCCTCTTCTTCCTTCTCATGTTTCTGCTGCCTGCATAAAAACTGTTTAAGTTTAAGATTAATCACAGCGTGTTTAGCCAATGTAAAAATGTACTTTGTTGTTTGGGCTGGTGAGTTAGAGTATGAGTGCAGACTTGCTTATAGTTAAACATGTGTATTGTCTGATTATGGATTATTTTAATATGATTGAGGGAAAGCTGGATCTGTAGCCAATTCAAATGAGCTCTCAAATATGCAGCCAGGATTGTTCCAGAAACGTGTTGATGGCTGCCAGAGTAGTGTGGTTGAGGTGCAGGTGCGGTGGGACATTTATCGAAGTGACGTTACGATGGTGTTTGAATCTATTTGAACCTGTGTGTAAACTTCTTGTGTAGGTTAAGAAAAATGCCAAATACATTTTAACTTGTGCATCTCATTTTTCATGCTGTACAGTCATTGCACCCGTCAGAGTCATGGGCATTTATATGACCCTCTGTCTGTTTCCTGCTGTACCTCTGTGTCTCTGCAGTGGATTAACAGCCGTACGCTGGTCCTGGTGGACAGCCACGAAAAGCTGCACGTGGTGGACCGGCCTAGCCAAGAGGTTTTGGAGACTCTGGACTTGGAGCAGGTGCAGCTGGTCTATAACAGCCGACATTTCAAATCATTGGCAACTGGAGGAAACGTCTCCCAGGCTCTGGTGAGGGTTTAGTTTGTAAGGCATGGTCAGCGTTTGAGGCTTTTATTTGAGATGTTGATAGTTCGTGTTTTTTGGGAATCTGAGATTCAAAACTCATGAAAACGTTAGTCAAAACCCTGCTACAGTTCTCTGTTAGTAATAATGCAGCAGAAAACCAACAAAAACAAAATTCAGCCTTTGAAGAAACCACAAAACAAGTCACTTTGTCCAGAGAATAAGTTACCGCATTTTCAAGATTCAGATGTGGAACCAAAAATTGCGAGCTAGAACGCTCTCAGGAAGACGAAGGGAGAAAACGCAGCACGAAGAGCCTCTGAGGACCGAAATACAGGTAGGATCACGAGAGGATGGGAAACAGGAAGAAACGCAGCTCAGACAACTCGGACATGATGAGACGAAGGAAGGCACAACACTGATGTAGGACAGAGACTATCAAAATAAGACAGGAGATACGACACGTAGGCACAGACTCAGAGACACGAGCGAATACGACGACATAACGACATGGTGACAGAGGGAACATAGAGACGAGATTGACTGGAGACGTGGGACCAGGACAGGTGCAGAGAAAACACGGCACGTCAAAATAAAACAGGAAGCACACGACAGAGACACGGACTTGACAGTGAACAGAGGGAACACGGAGCACAGGGACAGGAGTGACACGAGGTTCAGTGGCTTTCACTCGGCACCATGAGCTCTACAGGTCAGCACAGGACGTTTAGATAGTTGCTCATTTAAACACAAAGACACTTCCTGATTTTAACATATCGAGTTCTGTTCATGCAAACCTGCAAACAGATTTTGAACCTGAACCTAGAGCGTTGCATGAATCAGGTCCTGGTTACCTTCTCTATTAATTACACCTGCATATCTTCTAAATTCTTGTGATTCAGGATCTGGTCCCAGAATTCCTGAGAAAATAATAACAATGTGTTTGAAAGCATTGGCAGTGAGTTCACCACTGACTTTTTGGCTGTACATCTGTGTTTGTGTTTCAGGCTTTAGTTGGAGAAAAGGCTTGTTACCAATCAGTCTCGAGCTACGCAGGACAGATTGTGTATTTGGGCACCAAGGTACTGTTTTGTACTATTTACCTTTCTGTTGTATACATCTGTTATATCATCACCATGGATGAAAACTTTTGTTATTTATCAATGGAAGCATTTTAGCTCAGGCTCAGTGGTTTGGAGACAAAGTCAGGGAGCTGAAGCTGAAATGGTTTGGACATGTGCAGAGGAGGGACGGTGGATTTACCTGCAAGGCAGGTGGAAAAGAGGGAGATCACGGATGAGGCTCGTGGATATAGTGAAGGAGGACATGCAGTCAGTAGTGTGAAAGAGAAGCATGCCATGGGTAGGGTGAGATGGAGGCAGATCTGACAGAAATGGCAGGTTCAGAGAGCGCTGGCTCTCCTGACTGGGTCATGTTGTGTGCCACGAGTTCATCTCTGTGTTGTGTGATCAGAGCAGTAATTTTACAAATGACAGTTATTTATTACAGTCACACAAGGTTAATAACTCCATCCCCGTCTCCAACGCGTGCAACATCTCAACACTGATGAGAATCAGTGGTGACAGAACATCATGTGCAAGTACTTGAACAGTTCATGAGTGTTTCTCAAAAACAAAGTTAACAAAGACTGAACGACCAAGTCAATCTGGCTCCTTCTTAGATGCGCTGCCCGCTCCGAAAACAAAAACATCTGTGACAGATGTTATAAAAAGGCGTTTGTGGTTGTAACCGGACTGCTGCTGTTAATGAGGATGTGAATACTGATAGAAGTGTGCAGGCTGGACTCTGCTGATTGCTCAGGTGTGACTTTGGCTCATTCTTCCATTCAAACAGTGTTCAAACCCTGAAGGTGCCTCTTCTGTGAATTGGCTTCAGTGTTGAGGAAATGCAGCATTAACACAGTCTTCCCGCCTCATCTGTCAGACCTGATAAAGATAAATTTTGAACCTTTACTCAGCGATATGAGAATCTTGATCGTTGGTCTCAGATGTATCTGTGGGGAAAGGTAAACGTAATCAAAATGGTATGTACACCTAAGTTCAACTATTTGTTGCAGGCTCTACCAATTCATGTTCCTTTGAAATACATCAAACAGTTTGACCAGCTCTGTAAAGCATTTACATGGAGTAATAAAAAGCTTAATTGAATCTGAAAAAAAGTCACGTGAACTGCGTTCAAGCTTGTTCCTATTTCAGATTTTAAATAGAGTATACTGGACACCCTCACGGTTGCACAGGGTGGGTCGAGCGACTGACGATGCATGCTGGAAGTGCCAGCAGGGAAGGGGCACTCTTTTACATTTGCTTTGGGGGTGCGTCAAAGTCCAAGATCATTGGATTCATATTCACACCGTAGTAGAGAAGGTTGTAGGTCAAGGTCCCATTCATGAACAGTCTTTACGTATTAGGAGACCCTTCAGCTTTGAGTCACTTACCCACTCCTCTTGCTGGGTACAAACGGCGATTATGCTGGAGAGGAAGCTGTTGGTGAAAGAGTGGAGGCCTCATCGACTCTTTGGGACAAGTGGCAGCTTACGAAAGATTATAGACTGCTGAATAGACTGGACGACTATAACGACAAATGGGCTAACTACTTTTCATTAGTTAAGGTCGGACTAAATAGGATAGCTGTAATTGGGTCTGTGTGAAACATTGGCATCATTATGTATTTATGTTGTTTTGGATCTTTTTTTTTGGGTGGAGATGTGCATCGATTCTCAATTTGTTTTGTTGTGACTGGGAATGTCCACTCTGTCTTCTGGCTTGTTTGTTTTTTTGTTTCTTTGTTTCTTTGTTGTTGTTTTAATATTAAAATCTAATACAGTTTGAGTCATAACAGAAAAAGACAGTCATTGTCCTCCGTGGACTATGACTAGGACCTGTCAGTTATGTATACATTGTATATTTTTGGGGTTTTGAGGTTTAATAATCAGAAGAGTTTCATATTTCAGAGAAGAGCACACACTGAGCGTGTCCCATTTGACTGTCTAATGTTATGTTGTCTCACCCCTCAGTCAGCTCACATTATGACTCTACGGAACTGGAGAGAGGTGGGTGTGACAGTTTGAGTATCTGTCCATTAACAGCAACAATCACTGTTTAATTAGAATTGCGTAGGCCTGACCTTGACCTTTGCCCTTCCCTGTCTCTGCTTATATGTCCAGCGTATTGACTGCTTGATGAAGCAGGAACATTTTGTTGAAGCCCTCTCTTTGGCCTGGTCCTTTCACGAGGGAGCTGCTAAGGCTGTGGTTGGTGGGTATAATTCATTTCACTCCTCTGTCATCGATATCACAGCCACACATTACACTTGTCTGCGATATCTATACCGAGCGCTGTGATGCCCACTAGGACCACCGTCACCTTCACCCTCCACATCTTCTCCAGCTCTTCTCTGAGTCCTTGGTGTTTCTCCAGCTTCTCGTGTTCCTTCTTCCTGATGTTGCTGTCACTCTGTATCACTACGGCCGTCTTCCTCTTCTTGTCCACCGCTACTATGTCCGGTTGGTTAGCCACCACTGTTTTGTCCGTCTGTATCTGGAAGTCCCACAGGATCTTAGCTCGGTCATTCTCCACCACCCTACAGAGTCGGACAGTGTGGTTCAGAATGGTGCAAGTATTGGAAATGAGAGTGTCATGTAGTCCAAGAAGTGTGTTTGGAGGGCAGCATGGTGTTCAGGAGCCGACTGCTCGGGAGGAAAACGACCACTCGTGATGCTGCAGAGTCGTCTTCTGGATGGAAGAGGAGTAAACAGTTGGTGGGAGGGGCCATGTCGGTCAGCCACGATGCTAGTGGCTTTCCGAATGTAGCGTGAGGTGTAAGTATCCTGTAGACTGGATAGAGAGCTGCCAGTAATGCGCTCAGCCGTCTGCACAGTCCTCTCGAGGGCATTCCACCAACGCAGCAGTCTCTGGATGATGCATGCTCGTCCGTACACATTTAATGCCCAGTAATTCACACAGATCTTTCAAAATGTAAGACATAGAAAGGTGCCCTGACCACTCCAACTTTAAGACTATCTGAAATGGCACCTTTTGGTATCTCCATTGACAGTAAAAGGCAGACGTGGAACGATATGTGATTAACTAATTGGCATTCCAGAAATGTGCACAGCTGGTGCCCATTCTGCTTGGATGCCAGTAGGATCGTGTGATAATCCAGACTTTGGTCATATCCAGTGTGACCAGCCATCAGTTATGATATGTGTATCCTGGATTTCACTGCCATTTGGGGCTATGAAGTTTTAATGCACGCTTTTGGCACTTTGGTCAAATCCGTTGACTGTCTTGAGCATGACCATAATAAGCTGCCTGCAAAGAATAATTCCTGACCAACACCAGCACCAACAGTGGGGTCGTTTCCTCTGCCAGTTTATGACAAACAGTATCACTGCATGCTTGTAGCTAAATGTTACCATACTCATAACATTATACTGATACTGTTATATATACTATATTATACATACTATACTTATATATACTACTTATGACAGATCATTTGTGAACTGTGTGTTTTTAAGGCCTGTATGGAGATTCTCTGAAGAGGAAGGCAGTGGTCAGTGACAAGGTGAGAAAAGATACACGTTGTCTGTTGCATCAAATCTACTTTTACTTTGACATTTCAGCTTTCTAAACTCACCGTGTCTACAGATGATCGAGATCCTTTTCCAGTTTGCTGAGCATGCTTTGAAAAAGTGTCCAGAACAAGGCAAAATCCAAGTGATGGAGCAACATTTCCAGGTAAACTAAACTGCCTTAGAGAACACAAGTGTGTAGCCACAAAGTTAGTACAGTAGCATGGTACTGGCGTCCAACCGATCAGTCCACTTTGTATTAAACTGACGAGTCTGAACAGTTTCTGGTTTTACATCTTATTATTCAGGATCTGAGTTCATCAAGCATATTGGCCTTAAGTTCTGTGTTTTGTAGAAAAAAAAGATTCCCTGGTTGCAGAGCATTATAATTAGAACTAGGGACGTTCCAACGAACTTCTTAGTTGACTCAAAGAAAAATGAGACAGACTAAGAAACACTCAGATATCAGCTTCAGTTCCAGAAGAGTTTAATGGACAAAGACAAATCCATTAATCCCACGCTTGCTAAATGTGCAGCACCTCGCATCGTACCAACATTATACTCTAAACAGAACTGATATAAACTATAACACGAAAGCATGATACCACAAAGATGTGTAAAAAATAAATAAAGACTAAAAGTGTGCCGGTGCATTATGAATGATGCACATTGCTCAAAAATGAATGAAATAAAAGTTAAATGGTAAAATAACGAAACATAAATCGTGCAGCATCATTTTCCCCACTTATCTGAAGTTGGACTGCACATGTGTAATCCCTCCAGTGTGTCCCGGGAGTACATGCCGTGCCATCACCCACCCAAGAGGCTACAGCCCCACCTGGCTCACTCTGAGCCCCTCCCAACTGACTGAAGTCCTCACCCTCTGCTCAGGCAGAGCCCATCCACCTTTCAGAGAAGGCTCATTTCCGCCTCTTGTATCCGGGATGGCATTCTGACGGTGTTAAGAAAAAGATCAGGCCTAGACTAACAGATTGATGGTGTTTCTCAACAGTGATGCTCCATCTGGTGGCCGGTGGCTGTGCAACATTTTTAGGATACAGAAATTTACCCGTGTTGTTCGAAAAAAAGTGATTTCCAATTCAAATCAGTTCAGTTTTTTTATACAGCACCAAATCACAACAACAGTGGCCTCAAGGCTTGTAAATTAGACCCTACAATAATACAGAGAAAGGCCCAACAATCATATGACCCCCTATGAGCAGCACTTTGGCCACAGTGGGAAGGAAAAACTCCCTTTTAACAGGAAGAAACCTCCAGCAGAACCAGGCTCAGGGAGGGGCGGGGCCATCTGCTGTGATTGGTTGGGGTGAGAGAAGGAAGACGGGATGCTGTGCAAGAGAGACAGAGGTTAATTGTGGGGCGATTGTGGCTCAAGAGTTGGGAGTTCGCCTTGTAATTGGAAGGTTGCCAGTTCGAGCCCCAGCTTGGACAGTCTCGGTCGTTGTGTCCTTGGGCAAGACACTTCACCCGTTGCCTACTGGTGGTGGTCAGAGGGCCCGGTGGCGCCAGTGTCCGGCAGCCTCGCCTCTGTCAGTGCCCCCCAGGGTGGCTGTGGCTACAATGTAGCTGCCATCACCAGTGTGTGAATGGGTGGATGACTGGATGTGTAAAGCGCTTTGGGGTCCTTAGGGACTAGTAAAGCGCGATATAAATACAGGCCATTTACCATTTAATAACAAGTGTCAATGCAGAGAGGTCTGCACATAGAGAGCGGAGAGTTTTCCAGTGTTTCCATTCTCTCTGTCCTTGCTGGTATTCATAAAGCAGCCAACATGATTTACCAATGGGCTATGTGTATGTAGCTGAAAGAGTTAAGATGCTGATTGTTACTGTTTGATCAGCTCTGTTTTGTTGACATGAATGTTTAACATTTGAAGTAATTCTCTACCAACCCCACCCTCTCTTTGTGTTTCTCTCAGGATGTAGTTCCAGTCCTGGTGGATTACTGCCTGCTGCTACAGAGGGCGTACGTGAACACACACGTGAATCTAAATTGCCCATAGCTTAGCCCTGTCTGAGGTGTGACCTGATAGGATGAGGGAAGAGGATAGGTGGATGGATAACCTTTTAGGTCTGCTATTTTATCTTTGGGGCAGCGTTGGCTCAGGTCGTCTACCAATCGGAAAGTTGGTGAATCAGCTGACTGTGTGACCGTGAATTTCAGATAAACCCCTTAAGTATAGAAAAGAGTGCCTCTATGAATGTGTGTGATCAGATGAATGAGGCTCAGTTTGAAGAAAAAGGCTTAGTAGCCATCAGTCCCTTCATCTTTAAGTTGACAGTATAATCTTACTGAGTAATATTCAACAAAGTGGGTCATCAAAACTTCTGACACTAAAATGAAGACAAAAGATCTTAAAACTTCTTGTGTAATTTTAATTAATTCAATGTAGGTTTTTAAACTTGCAGACAGCATTTGAAACACGCTTATAGAGTACAATGAAAATATTTAAAAAACTCCACCAGTGCACCAGTGTTCCCTCTAATGTTTCATGTGTCTGAGCGAACACACAAGCTCCCTGAGCGTCCCCTGGACCACTGTGAGCGACAGCAGACGTGTGCACTGTGGTCACGCCAGCATCCAAGTTACATGTTTATTAAAGTAATCAAATTACAGCATTTATGTTAGACTACTTTTAATTACCTGCTTCAGCCCACATACAATGAGAATGTAAAAAATCTTGTTCCTGACCTGCAGCATGTTAACACTATTGGAAGGAAAATAACTTGAACTCCAATTTT